AAGAGAAAAGACAAACAAAGGTGCGGTCACCTCCTCACTGCAGAAAGCAAGCTTTCAGCAGACAACTCGCAGAAAGCAGCAGTGCTTTAAAGCCTCTCTGAATCAGCCTTCATTTACAGAACAGAGAAAGAAAAAAGCCATTAGCAACCATCCCAGACTACTTAGAGAGCTGGCTGAAGAAATCTCAGAGCTGCTAGTGGTTATCTTTAAAAGCTCAAAGAGCACAGAAGGCCGGAAACTGGCAAAGATGGGATCTATCTTTCAAAAGAGAAAGGGGAGATGGAGAGGGAGGAAGGAAGAGCCGGGGAATTATACATCCACCAGTATCCATTCCTGGAAACGCAGTGGAATAAATAAACTATACTTCAAGTTCTGCAAGAAAATAAAGAGTAACAGCCAACACGGACTGGCCAAGAGCAAACTCCGAGGCACCAGCCTAGTTTGCTGTCGTGGCAGGGTGCCAGGCCTTGCACAGGGAGGAAGAGCAGTGGATCACTATCTGTCACGAGCCATCCTTGCAAGATTTACCTAAACCGCTTGTAGGCGGTCAGTGAAGGCAATCATCCACAGCTCTTGTCAGTGGGGAAGAACACACCGAGTGGAGGTGAAGAGGGGTCTATCTGAAACCAGGTACTGTTTAATATATTAATTAATAAGCTTACTGAAGGAACAGAAGTGATGCTCATTAAATTAGCCAACAACATGCAGGAGGAGGGACAACTGCAAGCCTGTTGGGAAGCAGAACTCCTAATTCATAATGGTCTTGATAAATTTGAAAGGTGGTGTGAAAACAACACGATGCAATTCAGCTGGGACTAATGTAAGGTTTTATGTTAAGGCAGAAATAGGGAACGGTACAAGGGTAAGACTGTCGGTGTATGCAATCTGTACCCTCTTACTGTGGGCTGCAAACCGAACTCGTATCAATGTCACTCTATCGTGAAAAACAAGATGCTGCATCACGATGAGCGGGGAGCATCATGGCCTACAAAAATCACAGAGTAATCATTTTGTTTTCACCAGCGCAAGTCCCGAGCAGGAGGTTGTACGCTCTTCAGGGCACTGCACGTCACAGTGGCTCTAGATCAACTGGAAAGATACCAGCAGCGCACGATAGGGACAATCAGAGGTTCGAAAGCACCACCACAAAGAGGTGTCAAATGAACTGGGACTGCTGCAGGAAGGAAGAGAATAATCCGTCCTCAGAGGTTACTTTGTACGAGACAAACAGAACAGAGCTTGTACCGCTGTGAAGGAGCTGTAGTTTAGATGTTAGAGGAAACCTTCTCTAAGATTAGGACGGCGAAACACTGAACCACATTGCCCAGAGCAGTCCGAAGTCTCGTCATTAAAGAGCATTAAAAACTGGGCAGAAAAATAGAAATAATAGAAGGTGAATTCATTCTGCCTTGCAGCACAGGCACAATTAAATAATCTTACGTCTCCTCTAGCCCTGTTTTACAGGATTTTACGAAATACCACATTTACAGTGTGGAAATTCCAAGCCAGAGTTACACTCCTGGACGCGTACTTGAGGCTTCCACCACCATCCTGTGCAGCTGAGTCATCCTACAGCTTGATCTAGAAACCCATGTTCGATCCAGAAGTCCTGTGGATTAAAACCGGGTTATTTTTCCTGAAGACTGCTGAGCCGCTGGGATCAAGAGGAAGATGGAAAAACACGTAAAGCCACATCTTCAGAGTGAGTTCAGATACTCGCCTGCAGGCCAGTGTGAGCTATCTCAGGATTCTTGGGATTGTCAAAATTCAGGAGCTGTGAGCCAAGCCCGTAGTAGTAGGGCCCCATTTTATGCAGATCGACCACGTTGGTGTCAGCGCTGAACACCGTCCTCCAGGCTTCCTTGTACATCTTGGGCAGCTCCACAGCAATGATCCTCCTCTTGCTGTCATGCAGACCATTCGCCAGCCACAGAGGCACCTCCAGCTTCGACCCCTGCACCAACAAGAAACACCAAAAGCCACCCTCGCCGTGACGACACACTCAAAGCAACCCCAAAGACGGACAGCGAACTTTATTAACGAAGGTTTAGTATTACAAAAAGCCAATTTCGTTATCAGAACAGTCTGATGTGGTTCTAAAGCCGGCTGCGGGCGCTGCCTACAGCTCCCAGCACCTCCCGCGCCCCCGCACCAGCGGGTTTTTTTTACCCTCATTGTGCGGGTTTTTTTCCCTCATTGTTTTGTTGTTTCACAGTCAGTTCATTTTTCATCACGTTAAAGTTGTCTTGATATTCCCTAAATTGTATATGCTGAAAACATTACTCTTTCTATGTACAGTAGTCTATAAAATATAATGTAGATAATCTAGCACATATTTCAGTCTTTGTTCTGGTAAGGAGGAAAAACAATTCAGTGGGGTTGGTACTCAAGACCTGACAATGTCCCTGAGAAATGACGACAGAGTTATTTATAGAGGGTTTGACAATTTGTTTAATGACATTTTCAGTCCATGACTAAGGCGTAAGCCAATGCCTCTTCAATTATCTTTTAATTCCTCCGACCTCAGCATTCTTCTTCTCAAGCTGGATCCATTGTGATTTGATATTGTTTTGTCTTCATTAATTAGCATGCTGGTACTTCAATATCTTGATCAGAGTCAAACCCATGCAAAGATAATAAAATTTGCTCTAGTTTATTAAATCTTGCACTATTTTATTTTGTACTAAGAAAAATAGAGCACAGGCGGCAGAGACTGAAACCTTAGGATGAGGTACGTCTGTCGCTTACACACCCCTTAGGTGCCATGGCAGTATATGCTATAAAAATCCGGCCAGCGAAGAAATGGCAAGCTTTTTTGTGACCTGTGGCAGGCTGGATTTGCAAAATTCTAAATGCCATTAATTTGTTAGGCAAGTATTAGAAATAGACACCCAGGAGCAGAAAAAAATGTATGCACACATGTTTGTCAATGTGACGCCTGCACAATGCTGGTTTTAGAATGTCCCCTTTTCCCGTTAGCCGGGTACGTTAAATCCTGACAACAGCTGTAAGGGAAATGCATGCTCCTGGAAAGAGATTTAATGTAAAAGGTCGTTTCTTGTACGATGATGAATTTTTATCTATGGTACAGAAAACAGACTTTATATTGGAATTAGCACTGTTAACTATTGTCCTGTGTGGGTTTTGTGATTTTTTAATGAGAGAGGAAGTCTGGGCATTTTGAAAAAAAATCCTTCTATCTGTGCCCGTATTCCAAGTGAGTTACAGAGCAATTTCCAAAAGCTCTTTCTAAAGGGCGATTCTGATAAAATTCCAGTTTGCTGAATTGGATTAGGAAAGATATTCCCTGCTCTAATGAGGTTTAGGAAACAAATCTCTGTGCTAAATATGAAAGCTTGCACTGTGAGCAAGAAGAGAGAACTATGCAAATAGAATATGCTATTTTTCTAGGATGCAGAAGAAAGACATCTGGAAAAAGAAGAAAGCAAAGCACTCTTTCTCTGTGTCCCAAGATGCCTCAGCCTGTAGCGTGTGATGCTGAAATAAGGCACAGAGGTATGGAGAGCCTAAGGTACCGGGCAAAGTTGAAAGAACTAAAAGCGAGAGACGTGTACACTCACTGTAAAATCAGTTGAAGAATTGTTCTTTTGTGAGAATTTTAAAGAATGGTGGGTTTGGTAGCCAAAATTGTGTCACCTCTTTTTGTAGTATGTTTCCCTTCTCATTCTGAGAAAGTTATTTGGCAGGTTCTTATTCTTGAACACTTTTGTGTCAATCTTAGTATAAAAGCATGCATAATGAGCCCAGGATACTAAACCATATTATGTTTTCATAAACATGATTTCAAGACATTCCTGAAAGAAAAGGAATATCTTGTGTCATAACTGAGCCTGCTTGCACTGGGAAGATTTGTAAACTGGAGACTTCATTCTCCTCCTGCATTTGTGTAAAGTCAAAACCCTTTATGTCACATGGAGCTGCGCTAGCAGAAGTAGTCTGAGAGGGGAATCAGACCCTGTAGCTTTACAGAGACAAAGAATAACAGAATCCCTCAATAACCAGAGTGAAGAAAGGAGCAAAAGTGTGTAGGAAGAATAAAGGAAAAGAGATTCTGAGAGAAGTGGTGGAGCAAAACAGGCAGGATGTGAAGGTGTGTACCAAAAACTGCATAATGACAGAGCAAAATATTACAGAAGTAAGTATGAGCTGTGAGAGGTAAAACCCCAAGCACTGCCAGATAAATTGAGTACAGCAGATAAATTGAGAGGACCTGTCCTGGGTTTGGCCAGGTCAGGGTTAATTTTCACCGGACTCCAGGAAGGGGCACAGCCGGGGGGTGGGGGCTGACCCCACCTGGCCAAACAGAGCCCGGTATTCCATACCCTGTGACGTCACGCTGGGTTCCGGTGGGGGGGGCGGCGCGGCGGGAACTCTCTCGCGGCTCGGGAGCGTGCGGCGCCATGGGTACATCAGGTAAATTGAGAGGACCACAAAGTATGGGAAAGAATGAAAACTTAGAAATCAAGGGACAGCTGTTACATCCCATCTGTGTACTTCTTAAATCTTGAATAGCACAAAATTCAGCCATTTTAATATCTCAGATAAATTCAGGGAATTTACTGGCTTCTTCTAGGGACTATCATTTGGTCAGAGCAGGCTGATGATGACGTGTATTGCACGGTTGCTGAGATGTGTTATGAGAGCATGTGTATGTGAGGTTATGACAGAGTCAGCTGATAACTGCCATCGTGGGTCATTTAAGTAACACTAAGTACATGAAGTAAGACAACTGGAAAAGCTGCAGGATGTTGATGGGAGCAGGAGATACCACTCTCTGTGACCCCTCCTTACCTTTCTTTTTAAGGTCAAAGTGAGAGAGGAATCATCAGTCTCTATGTATTGGAATAAACCACAGCATAAACTAAGGTTGATACCAAGCCTTCGTCCCCTCTCACGTAGAATCTCAGTTACCATATAGGATTGTAGTATAACTTGCTTTTCTTATTTGTGTTTGCTATCAAGTAATCAGAAACACTGGCAGGGTTTTTGGCTGTCTTAAGGTCCCTAGATGAGACGACTGACTTCAGTGGGGCCAGAATCTCACTGTCTCATCCTGGCCAAAGCATCCTGAACGCAAGAGTAAAACTCAGGCATGTGGTGTGCACACTTTGGAACTTTCTGTTTCATGGTGTCCAGTTGATAGGGAACACATTGTAGTACATACCCTTTGCCCACATCCCCAAGTTTTCTGATGCTGCTTAGATCATTTCTTTCCCTCCTGGAACTTTCACTCAACAGATTTGCATTTCCAAATCAGTTAACTTGCCTGCAGAAGTGGGAGTTCTTATTTGTAACTAATTCTATACTGTATATTTGATATAAGCTTTTGCATCCCCTTTGTTGTGCAAATATGGGCATGTAACTGAAGTAAACCGGTTGGCTTCAGTAGGATTATCATAAGAGAGTTAAGTGCTACGTCATATGAATAAATACTGCTCTCCAAGAGACAGATTCTGCAGTCCAGTACAGTTTTATTTTTTGAAGGACAAGGGGTAGCAGCACAAGTCAATAGTTAAACCAGGGAGATAATCACTTTCCTGTTCAGTTTATCTGCACATGTGAGAGATTCAGCAACACTATTAACGGTACACCATATTCATATTTACATCTCAAAGTAGCATTCCTTTTCACGTGGAGGAAGGGAGGAGAATTGTCACCTTTTGCAGACAGGAGAACAGCCACAGAAGAAGTGAAGGGATTTAGGGTAACCAGACATCCTGTGGGAAGGGCCTTCCGGCTTCCAGCTTCTAGCCAAGGGTCTCTTAGCCAGAAGACAGGGATGGCAGCAGGGACTCTGGCCAGCTTGTAGGATGAATTTCAAAATCTTGTAAGCACCTACTAAAAAGGGGTATTGGAGTGATAAGATAAACCAGATGCTAGAGCTGGTATTGCAAACAGCATTTTTCACAACCAAAGTGAAAATGGAAGCATTTCTGGAACTCTTCAATATTTTTTTCCCACCTGTCATTCACTGTGTGAACCCCTGTTGTTATGCAGGAGTGGACTGAGCAATGTCCAAGGCATTTTTAATCATTGCGTGGTTTTGCTGGCAAGTGGAAAGTCACAGTTAAATCAGCAGCAGGCAATAGATGAAAGTTTCTTGTTTTAAGGCGAGGCACCATGCTGCTAAAACTTTTTATGATTTAGATGGGAGTACTGCCAAAATTGTTACCGTTTCTGGCATTTGGAGTTCCCTAGAATGCAATTTACTATTGTTTTTGCTTAGAAGTGTGGGAAAACGGTAATTGTGATAACTGCCTTCAAGAAATTAAGGAAATTGCTGATTACTGTGTAGAATTGTGTATCGCAGTCAATTCAAACGGGGTGAGATTCCTCAAATATTTGGTGTCTCAGGGTCACTGTGATGATGTGAGCAGAAAACTCAGGTGTATTTTTATTTCATTCACATCCACTCACATGACATAGATGAAAGAGCAGTACTGTGTTCATTCTTGAGAGGGACACCCTTCCCTACCTGTGAAGTACTCAGGCTGCTGAGCAAAACAATGAATCCTTTCCACAGTATAAAACATTAAACACCAGTAGTTTCCCATTTTTTTATGTCTCACCATTTACAGTAAATATCCTAGGGAGATGTTGGAAATAATGCTGTTCCAATTAAGTTGGATGCACTCCAACTCCATTCAGCCAAAGGCTGCCCAGAGACAAAAAAATCTAATGAATTAATCTTTGTGCACAGAAGAAAGCATTCAGGACAAGGGGCAATGGGCACAAACTGAGGCACAGGAAGTTCCGTCTGAACATGAGGAAGAACTTCTTCCCTCTGAGGGTGATGGAGCCCTGGCCTAGGCTGCCCAGGGAGGCTGTGGAGTCTCCTTCTCTGGAGATATTCAAGACCCGCCTGGACGCGGTCCTGTGCAGCCTGCTCTGGGTGACCCTGCTTCGGCAGGAGGGCTGGACTAGATGACACACAGAGGTCCCTTCCAACCCCGACCATGCTGGGATTCTGTGATTCTGTG